AGCAGCGTCGCGTGAAATCGCAAACGCGCAGCGCGCAGCAACAACGCCGCACGCCGCACGCCGCACGCCGGCAAGGAGTTAAGCAAGCGTGACTCAGAACTCAAACTGCTCAGCGCGAAGGACGAGAGTTGGGGCGCGCATACATCATACTCACCATTGGGACTTGACTGCGCAATCAACACTTTTGCTTGCTGAAAGCCACAAATAAGACAAAGGTCGTCGCAAAGCCCATTCGCTTTTCATATGATCGATCGGTCACAGTCAGAGCCACATCGTTCTTGTAGCCGTCCAGATCGGCAGCATGCACACACGATCAAACAAGACGTCTCCACCGCAGCCGACTGGCACAGAAGAGGCGCACGCGCAAGTTGGAATGAAGCGCTGAAGTCAAGAGTGTCTTGTCTTACACCCTTCTCTCCATCTGCTAGCTTCGACTGCCGCATTCAGCGCGGTCATGCATGCGAAGCACGTATTCAAACCGGTAGGATGGCCCCACTCGTGACTGCGAATCACTTCTCCACCCTACGTCGCTGTAATGGCGTGTGATCTGTTCAGTGACTCCGCCGGCCGGGCGTCCTGGCTTGGCGCTGCAAGGCACACGTCTGCTGGCCTCAAGGCATGTCATCAACAAGAGTCCAAACAGGGTCTTAGAAGGCATGACAGAGAAGCATTAATGTGATATTGAATGATGAGGTCGTTGCCGGGATTTTGCATTCAAGAGTTGACGATGAGAAGTCAGTGGTAGGCATCGGCGCGACACTGACCCTTTGCGCCGCGCAAACTTGTATCGCAAAAAGATGATATGCCTGAAAGCGGGTGATTTGCGATATACGAAGCTAAGATGATTCCAAGTAGTTTGTGAAGAGAATCTTCCGCGCAATCAAAGTGTATACTACATTCATGGCTCATTCGTGAGAGTTGCTGCCGCTGCGGGAGCTGTCGCGGTCGCGCGCCTCCTCGGTGCTAGCGGCCTTGTCGGCCTTGTCGTCAGAAGCCTTCTCGGCGACGTCGTATCCTTCGTTGCCGTGCTTGACGGCCTGAGATCCGTAGCGCTTGGCAATCTCGACGTCGAGCTCCTCGGAAGACAGGTATGGCTTGGTAACGGACAGGTAGCAAGCCTCCGTCATGAAACGAGAAGTGTGCCAGAACTTCGTCTCGTGCGCTTCGGCGAACATAAGGTCCATCTCTTCCAGACCACGACGTTTCGTCTCGGGGAAGAAGGCGTAGATGACGGGGACGAACGACATGTTCAAGACCGCGAAGATGATATAAGTCTGATACTTGATCGAGGCGAAGGCTGGGGGTGTGATCATGACGACGAGGAAGTTGACTGCGCCGAATTTGCGGACATTGTCAGCTCGCGTACAAGTACCGGCTGGCAAAACTCCAGACTACACAATTCCAACTCACAGATCCAGTTCGAAGAGGTGGCAATGGCAGAAGCCGGTGCGCGAATGCGAATAGGGGTGATTTCGGGTGGGTATAGCCAGGTCATGCCGAGCCATCCGAAACTGCGGTGGACGAGAGCGCAAGAGCGACTCAAGAGTCAGCAACGCCCCCGCTCAACCCGGTCGCGTCGGGGAACTGGGACTCACGCGAAGAAGGTGTTGAAGAGGTAGAGGAAAAGAGCAGCCACGTATGAAGCACCAATGCCGGTTGTCCCTGGTGGCTTGGACTCGACCACACTGACTGTGCCTGCCAACACCGCCATGGAGGCGCTCATCATGAAAGCCGTGCTGATCATGAGTTTGCGACGGCCCAGAGTGTCAATGAGGAATAGCGCAACGATCGACGCAGCGAAGTACTCTGTGCCGTTGCCGCACGTGAGAAGTCGAGCCGTGTTGCGGTCAGGGACGATGGACAAGAAAACCGTCGTCGCGTAATAGGTGATCAGGTTGATACCAGACAGCTGCTGGAAGGCCTGGGCCGTGAAAGCGATCGCAGTTCTGTAGAAGTTCTGCTCGGGTCCTTGCTGTAGGAGCTCCTTGTAGCTGAAGTCTCCGAGCAACTGCTCCGACGCTTCGATAGACTCGCGCAGCTGGCGAACGACAGTTTGCACTTCGGGATCGTTCTCGGTGGTGTTGTCGACCTGGGCCAGCACTCTGCTGGCCTGGTCGATCTGCCCCTTCTTAATGAGCCAACGAGGTGACTCGGGCAAGCACAGAATGCCAATAAGCAAGACGATGGCGAAAGCGGCTTGGAAAGCGATGGGAAAACGCCACTGCACTGAAGAATTGTCCAGGAAGAAGAAGCCATAATCGATCCAGTAAGAAATCATGATACCAGCGGCGATCAGCGATCCTTCAATAAGCACAAGAAGACCACGATTGTGGGCTTTGCTGAGCTCGGATTGCCACATGGGAATTGTCGATGTGTTCATACCGTTTCCAATGCCCGTGATAATTCGGCCTGCTGTGAATTGGCCAATTTCGTAAGACGCCGTCATGATTGTAGCTCCGATGATCATGACAGTTGCGCCAATTGCGATCGAGGTACGTCCTTCACGATGTGTGCGAAGCGTGTGTTAAAAATGACAAAATCTGAAAATTCGTACCGTCCTCGTCTACTCACTGCCGATTGCATCACCCTTCCACAAAACAATGAGAGATCCAATCATGGCGCCAATCTCGTAGATCGCAGTCACAGCACCCTGCACATTCGAGTCGAACTGAGGGTTGGCGTCTCGACCATCAACCATAGCCCTGCCAAATTGATCGACTTCAGCGAGCTGAGGGAACTTGAGAGAGAACTGCCCAGCTGCAAAAAGCCCTGACATGACACCCTGGTCGTAACCGAAGAGCAGGAAACCTGTAAGAATCGTTGGAGAAGTAAGGTTAGACGATGATTGCTTGTACCGCCACCGAGAGGCAAGCACAGGTACATGCGCCCGAGCGTTTGCGAACGACTCGAATTCACCAAGCACATGGTACGTTGCCGAACCTGGTGCACCTTCCTTCGGCCATGAACGACCACGCGCGGCCAGAATGGCGGCGCTGCAGGAATGGACGTGCCCTAGACGCCCATCCAGTCCTAGCGGCATGCAACCTTCGGGTCCCCAGTCGCATCAACTCACCAACACCGGAGATCAAGGCAATAGCGGCGGTCAGAGGCTTGCCGCGCAAGCTTGAGCCTGCGAGAACAGGGAGTTGGAACACCATGATGGCAGCACTGATCTGAGGACACTTCTAGTCGTTGTCCCGGCGTCGTGCTGTGATCGAGTGTGGTGGAGAACACTGAAAGAAGCTTGAGCACTGGCGGGGAAGGGTGCTCGATGGTAGTGGTGGTGGGCGTAAGACAACAATAGGCAGAGAATTCGAGTTGCCCTTATAACGCCTGTTGTGGGGGCGGAAGCACTCTGGACCAACGTGCAGCGAGGGGCTCTCAGCTGCAAAGGCAAGGAGGAGAGGTCACGAATACATTTGCACGCGGTCACAAACGCTCAAAGGTAACCTTGCATGGCGCAGAAAATGGCTCGCATCCAGCGACCCCGCCGCAGGTGTGCGCCTGTGCGTGATGTTCTCTTCTGTCTGCTGGACACCGACAACCGTTGCCGAGCTCTGGAGCGGTCAACACGGCTGAACTCGTGTTCCACCAATCAAGCTGCAGGGGGGGTCGAACGCCAAAGCAGGTCCATCGTGCGATTGTACATTGCACGGCTGACTCGCCAGGGTACGGTAACGTTGGCTCCTCTGCTTGCCGGACATGACGCCCACTCCACTGGATGCAGCGATTGCAAACGGTGGCACCTCGTCTGCACGGTTGAGAGCTCGACTCGAGGCAGGTCCGGCCCAGCTAACTGGGTATGGAGGATGGACTGTTTCTGTGCCCGAGTGCGCCAGCAGAGCATAGCAGTAGTGTAGGATTCAAGAGCCAAGAAATTTTAGGGGCCGAGCCGTCAAAAGGTGAGTGAGTGAGCACTTTGGCCCAGTCACAGGATGATTTTCGCATTGGCACGAGAGGCAAGGGTCGTTCAACGGACAAACCGCACATGCAGGTCGTGCATATATTTATCACAGTCCAAGCCAAGGTCCACGAATCGACCGATCTCGCGATCTCCGCCGGCTTCGACGCGGTCGCATTCGGCGACTCTGGCCCGTCACGCCCCCAGCGTGCCGCCGCGGCGCGAGTCTGTCCCAGCCTCGCTGCTGCTTCACGTCGGGTGGCGGAATTCTTTTGGCCATCTTGAGAGACATCGGATTTTCAGCTTTCCAACGTGCTCAATTACACAGTGTTCGTGATCTCCAGCAGGTGGAGCGACGCCCACTAGCCGTTTGCGCGCAGCCAACGTACGTGCAAGACGTTGCCGACGCACCAAGCTACGCGCGTTGATGCTTGATGCGAGTCACCCCTTTCGGGTGGCACGCACGCCAAAGGATGCAAGAATCAAGTGTAGTACGTGTCTAGCGCGGAGCTGAGATGCAGATGGGAGCGCTATAGCGGCATCTACAGCGCGTTTCATGCCCTCGGCGACTTGTTGATGCAGCTACAGCTGCGCAAGATCGCGCTGCAGCGTAGCGTCAGTCAACAGCTTGCCTCTCATCGGTGCTGCGTGGCGATTTGCCTGAAGCTGGCGTGGTGCCATGCTTCAGCTCTTTTGTCTGTACCTACAGTCAATTTGCGCACAATCTTTGCGGTAGTCTAGACTCGGCGCAGCGTCAGGGACTCCATGGTCCAACCAACCGCTTCGTGTTGGGGTGCTCAGCGTTGATCCAAGAGTCAATTGTGAGTGCAAAGAGGCGGTTGATATTGAATACGGGGGGCGCCGGGTGTGAGCCGGCGGCAAGCACGGCTTGTCGTCATGATGCGTGCCAGATCTGGCTTGATGCCCGTATGTCAGGTGGAGACGTCGAAGCCGCCGAATCAACTCCGCCTGGGGGGTGCGCGCGTGACCTTCGAAAGACTGGCAATGTGCTTTGGGTTCGTATGGTAGGCCGCCGGGTCAGACCCTCTGACGCAGCGCTGTAAGTTCGACCCATCGCACCTCAGATATGATCATGCTGCTGCTGAAGCATGCATGATTCATTCATGCGGACTCGCCTGCAGCACCCGCGCGTGACATACAGCATCGAACGATAGAGTCAAATGGCGAGAGCCGCGCATGCATGCATGATATCCGCCGCTCGCGTGGACGCCGCCCTGCTAGCCCCTCTCGGAAGCGACGACAGCACGCTCGCGTCGCCCCAGCAGCATCCGCCATGTTAAGCATGCATCGCGATGGAGGTCCCGCGCGCGACTGCTTGTGATGTTCATCTGTATCAGCGCTACACAGGAAGTTCACGCACTTGCTATTCACGCCTTGCTGCCTATCCAAGCAGGCGACAGCATGCAAGTTCTCGCGGATTCAAGTTTGATGAGTAGTTTACTCATCGTCTGCTAATTGTCTGTTGCCTGCTGAGGCTACCTTGACTCTTTTGACATGTATCTCTCATTTTAGCTCCTTCTCGTGGCATGCACGCCAGGGCTTGCAGAGTGCAATTATTACGCTTGCGTCTTCAAATGAGTCTAGGCGAAGGGTCTGTACAGTACTGCACGGAGGAGGCTGCTAACCCTCCAAGACTCAAAAGTGCTCACAAGCGACCCTTTGCCATGTCGGCAGCTTTCCAACGTATAAACACGCACCAAAGGGTCGCCAGACCGCTCAATGTCTAAAAGAGGATGTTCCTGCTTTGCGGGGTTTGCACCGCCCAGGTCACTTGGGGTGGATGATGAGGAATGGCAGGAAAAGGCTATAGGCTTGAGGAGCGCTAGTCAACTACGAACACTTTGATTGAGATTGCTAATCCTCCCACTTTGAACGCTCTTGCGCAAGCCGCATACATGTCCACGAGCGCATCAATCACCTATCTGGAGCTGCAGCTGAGCCTTATGGTGGAAGGTGGCAAGCAAGTCCCCTATCCTCGACTAGAACAGTTGGAGCAGCTCTCGCGAGGTGGGGCATTTCAATTGAAGTTCCGTTTGCGGGGTCCCCACAGCAGCATTCGTGCTTCACGGATTTGATCGCCGTGCGGACTTACCGCTCCGATCGATCTCGGGCGGCCCAGCCGTAAGAGCCCACGCAGCTAGTCGCCGAGTCCCTGCAAGTCTGCAATTGCTCGCTATGGTGCACACATGGTATTCAAGCTCGCCATTGCCCAAAGGCGCCACCGCATGCGACGTCTGTTGCCGACATGCCGACATTCACCGGCATTCGCCTCCCCCTCGCCACCGAGCTCTCAAGAACATGAGGTCTTGTGGCGGTGATCACGTTTGAAGTGGGCCGGTCGGTCATCTATGCATACAACATGCTCTCGAATTCACAAACGCACATTCGTGGACAAGATGTCACTGCTTCTTTTCGGCTGCGGCGGCTCACTCAGCAAGGCGGACCAAGCCTTTCTTGGCTAGAGCACTCGAGAATCGCTTTGAATGTCGAGAGTTTGGGTGGAGTAGAACGCGAAATTGAGTGCGCCGATTAGTCCTGCGTCCCCTTAGAATTACGGCACTCCTCTCCAAGCAGAGTGGATGCAACGCCAGGGTATCTTCTGCTTCGGCCAGGCATCAAATATAAGGCATAAGGCAGCGTGAGTGCACGGCGCAGGCAGGTGCAACACGCCCCAAGAGTTATCACACCACATCAGTCATAATGGGTGCGAACGGATCGACGTTCACTGTGTACGATCACGAAAGTGATCATCCACCTCACCAAACATGGCGGCTTACTCGATCCCCTCGGACATCTGCACCCATTGCACGGCTGTTCGACCAGCTGTCACCGCGAGAGGGGCCAAAGGGTCGAATGTCGAGGGTGGCTCGCACGATTGCACAAGCGCACGGCATGCATTCGTGGATGTTTGACAGATTTCCTCAACGTTGTGCGAGCGAGTGCGACCCTGTGCGCCTAGTGATGGCCTTTCTTGTGAAATTTGCTCCATTTCAGACCTTCTGCAACCTCGTCCGAGTAATCGATCAAGTACCTGCATCAGAGCAAAGCGTGAGCTGTTGACAATATGTCTAATTCCGGACTGGGAGCCTCACTGATTGTCCTCCGAGAGGGCCTGGCATGCGACGGTGACGACGGTGCTGTCACCCCTCTGGCTATTCGTAGAAGGGAGGATCAGGACTTGGTCACCGCTGTCCTCAATTTTCTTCACGCAAGCTTTGGCCCACACCGCTTGGACCCAGCGCACGCTGGACAATGCAAGGGGCGCATTGTATGCTGGTACGGAGAGAGGCCAGGAAAGTCAGCATATGGTCAGCACAATGATGTATCAATTCATCACCTATCGTGGTCTTGTGCTCACAATGTACTATGCGGACGTTCCCGTGCAATTCGCCCGTTTGCAGATTGACTCGATACCGTGGAGATTGTTCAGCTGCCGAAGCGCCGGGCAAGAGGATCGTCATCGCGACCATCAGAAAGGGCAGAATGTGCACCATCGCAAATGAGCAGACTCAGGGATTGTCGATGAAGAGGATTGAAGATGGCGATTGTAGGGTGGGCAAAGTGCAGTGATATGATGGGAATGGACTTCTCTCAGGAAATGGCAGGGCTGACGAAGAAATGAGCGCAAGCTAGCGAACAGGTGGCTTCAGTTCCGCGACTGTACAAAGGTTGCATGTCCAAGTCAAAAAGCGAGGTAATCGCTTGGCGAAGACAATGGGACAATGCCAGCCCAAGTGAATGTCACCTCGTTCTTCTGACGAGTGCAGTGCCTCATCTGCTGGATCGCCCTGACGCAGTCTGTCGGGTAGACTGAAAGGCATCAGCAGCGTCGTAAGTTAAAGAGGTGTCTGCGCATGGGCAAGGCAAGACGTGAATGGAAAAGCAGACAGACGTCCAAAGTACGCGTAGAGCGTGCTTTACGTAGGTCCAGCGCACATGAGCCTTATAGCTCCGACATTGGTGTGTGAGAAGCAGCGCAGTCAAATCAGTCTTGGTTCTGCAATTCAGATGTCAAGCTTGGCTCCAAGATCTACACGGCGCTGCAGAGTATCACAGCTTCTTTGTCGCGCTATCCACGGGTATCTGGTCATTCAAATATGAAGACAAGCCGGGTCTCCAGGTAGATCCTCAGGCTGGTCAGAGAATGAAACACAATGAAATTGCTATTGACAAGGCGCAGCTCAAGAGGAAGCCTTTGAAAGCTTCCGCCTTGCAAGCACAGCTTCGTTAAGCTGTTGTAGAAGCTTGACGGTGGTGTCCCAATCGATGCAAGCATCCGTAAGGCTCACGCCTCGCTTGAGCGAGGAGAGGTCTCCATTCGCTGGCATTTTCTGATTGCCCTCTCCCAGATTGCTTTCGATCATGACACCAGTGATTGCTCGCTCACCTGCTTGGAGCTGTTCACAAACTGCGAGCGAGGCGGGGTCATGGAAAGGTCAGCCACAAGGCGCAAAGAGAAATGAATGAGCACGTCCACGCTCACTAGCTTGAACGCCTAACGCCTGTTTGCGGTGATCCTTTTGACTGTTGCCGTGCGAGCAGTCGACCATGATGCTTGGTTGTCTGCCTTGTGCCGACATAGCATCCGCACTCTTCCTGATCGCAGCAGCATCGTAATTCGTCTTGCCACCACCACCTCGGTGGATGATGTGCAGATCGGCATTGCCGGTGGTGCGGACGATAGCGGCCAGACCTTGAGCGGTGACACCCATGAATGCGTGCGGTTGCGCAGAAGCCCTAATGGCATCCAGTGCCACTTGCGGTCCTCCGTCGGTACCGTTCTTGAACCCAATGGGCATGGAGAGACCTGAGACTAGCTCACGATGCAATTGAGACTCTGTCGTCCTTGCACCAATGGCGCCCCAGGAGTACAGATCTGAGGTGTACTGCGGAGAGATAGTGTCGAGTACCTCGCAAGCCACAGGCACACCTCGGCTTGTCAGCTCAATGAGCAGCTGGCGAGCGATCTACAGGCAGTAGAAAAGCAAGGGTAGGACGAGCACTCAGCAAAGAGCGACGACACTTGCAAGGAATGCACTCACCTTGAGTCCGCGATTGATCTGGAAGCTGCCGTTGATGTCGGGGTCGTTAATTAGACCCTTCCATCCAACGGTGGTGCGTGGCTTCTCAAAGTAAGCGCGCATGACGACAACCAAGCCAGGCCACTGTGGCATGGCATCTTTGAGGCGCTTGGCGTAATCCAGAGCCTCTTCAGGGCTGTGAATGGAGCAAGGCCCGACGACGACAAGCAAACGATCATCTTTGCCGGAGATGACGGCGCTGGCTTCTCCTCGACCTCGAGCGATAGTCCTTCTCGCCTCTTCGGTGAGCGGAGTCTCATGCAGTAGCAGCGTAGGCGGAATCAGAGGCTCGTATCCTGCAACGTGCACATCTTGCGAGTAGAGATACGGCTCCGATGAGCTTTTCGACAGGGAATCGGTCAGGTGAGGAGCAGCGTTGACTGCAGCGTTATTGGGCGCTGTCTGTGCAGGAGGACGCGGCAAATCGAAAGCAGGATACTCCTGCTCGAGGGCACTGTGTGCAAACGAGCGTGTACGGTCGGAGAAGCTGGAAGCGGTATGAGGTCCGCTTCCTGAAGCTCGAGCGACGTATTTGTAGATGACGAGACCCTCCAAGCCTACGGGGCCTCGAGCGTGGGTCTTGCCTGTGCTGATGCCGACTTCTGTACCGAGACCGAATCGGAACCCATCAGCAAAGCGAGTGCTGCAATTGACGAAGACATTGGCGCTCGAGACTGCGCGTGTGAACTGCGACGCTGCTTCGTGCTCTTGCGTCTGCGTGGAGGAATGACCGTTGACAGCAGCAGCGGAGGTTGTCGGGTTCGACGGCGAAGCAAGAGGGCTGCAGAAGATTGCATCTGTGTGATGCGAGCCATGCGTGTTGATGTGCTCGATGGCCTCCTGAACAGTGCTGACAGTCTTGACCGCCAGCTTGAGATCAAGGAATTCAGTGTAAAAGTCTCCGGGGACGGCCACCTTGACTTGCTGAGCTCGGGGAGCGATCCCCGGAACCTTGTCGAGCGCCTCGAGGGACTCCGGATCGCACCTTAGCTCGACGTTGGCATCAAGGAGAGCGGTCGCTAGAGCCGGCCAGAGCTTGGTGAGCTGGGACCGATGCACCAACAAGGTCTCGACTGCGTTGCATGCAGCGGGATAATCGATCTGCGAGGACATGCAGATGGGTATTGAGCCATTTGGGCACCAATACTCACTTTCAGTACGACACCGTCACACACTCACCTTCGAGTCCACAACGCCCTTGATTGTGCTCTCCTCCACGGCATCCGAATGCACGTAGGCTGCGCATAAGCCATCTGCGTGACCCATCACCGGCATCCTAGCATCCCGCTGAATAGAACGAACGAGCTCATTGCTACCTCTTGGGATCACCAGGTCGACGTACTTGTCTTCTGTTAGCAGCTCCGCGACCTGCTCTCGACTCTCGACGGACTGAATCAAGTCCGCAGGGAGTTTGGACTCGCTAAGCGCTTCCGAGACGAGTCTGGCGAGCAAGGTAGAGGTATGAGTGGACTCCTTGCCGCCTTTGAGGATGGCTGCGTTGCCAGACTTGAGAGCGAGGGTGGCGATGTTGACGACGACTTCCGGACGAGCTTCAAAGATGCACAGCAGCACGCCGATGGGGCACGTCAACCTGTACAGGTCTAGTTCCCCAGCACCAGATTCGCGATGGGGCGCTGCCAGCCTCTTGGCCCAGAGGCACTTGTCCAAAGGCGATTCGAGGGCTGCGACAGAAGAGATGCCTTCCAACATATCGTTCCACTTATTCTTGACGAACAAATCGAGCCTGGCCAGAAGCTGCGGGGAGAGCTTGCCGGCAGAGACGGCTTCCTTCGCAGCCTTTGTCGAGCGGGCAAGGAGGGAAGTCAGTGCTCTTGAAGTACACGAGCCCTCAGTATCAGTACTCACTGCTACATCCTTGGCGTTGGCCGCCTTGACATCGGGCTCGCTCTCGACGAGTTTGCGCCTGATCAATGACAGTGCTTCATTCCTTGCGTCGTCGGCTGCTTGTCCGGCGGGCAGAGTAGCCTGCGCCGTGTCAAAGGCGGCTTTGGCTCTGGCTGCAATATCTGGGACTGAAATGACTGTCATGACTGTCGAACGCTGATGTCGAAGTTGTAGAGCAGAATGCAAATTGTCCGAGCTGTGCAGCGGTGGGGACCCGTGAAACGCACGTTCTTGCATTCGCCTTCGACGCCCATCGAAGCCGAGTCACACGTTTTTCGCGCGTGAGCAAAATCTTGAATGAATTTGATTCCATCTGAGCACGTGACTGCCAAGTGCCCAATCAACTCCGCGGATATGTGCGACACGCAGGAGCGCTCAGAGATTAGCCGCGGCTGCCAAGCAAGACTCCGTCCGCCCTTTACCCCCACAACAGTATACTCGACCCAACCGTCAGGCGGCCACCACCCACATCGACCCAATCGCTGAAGCGGCTGCGCACCTTTCCTCTTGCCGAAAGTCTATAGCGGAGCTGCGGGGAGAAGTGTGACATGGACCTTTGATGATCTTGGCAAGCGCACGGTGCGAAGACTCACACGAGCAGGTACCGTCATCAGCTGCATGGGCTTCGTCGTTACCCAATTTATACAAGAAGCGTCCAGATCGCGCAACGAACAGGACAACTAGAGGCGGAGAATCGATGCTGCTGCTTGTTCGACGTTCCCCCTCATCGATGTCGAGGCGCACACTCGCAACTCAACCGTGGACGAGGCCTGCTTAGCAATCGCAGCAAGCCATGCATCGATTAATATATGCTCCGCTCTCAAGCGAGCGCGGCCCGACCGAGACATGTACAGGAAAGGATTTGATCAATTGTGCGTCTCGGTTGAGTGTTTCATCAGAGTCATGTATGTCTGTCTTGATCGCTCGATCCTCTATTCACGTTCTGTGCGCACTGCTGCCCGTTTCGGACGTGAGCGTGACTGCGTGTCTGGCGATTTTCAATCACGAGTCACGATGAGTGGACGTGACTTCATCCTCGCGCCCTTAGCTCGTCTCATCTCGACTTTCGCCCGCGCAGGTATAGAACGCCATTCGACGATGGCTTGCGCCTGCTGCGCCATGCTGACTGAGCGGCGAGCACGCGGCGGCATGCCTATACGCGCAGTGCCTTGTGAGTGTTGAGCGTCGACGCGTGCGCGGAAACATCACGTATGAGTAGGCTGTCAGCAGGCGATGCTGCACGCTCGCGACTCATGACTGTAGAGTGCGACACGATTCACGATTATTGACTCACTGACTTGCATGCACCTAGTCGACTTGCAGCAATTGAGGGGTACGCGCAGGGGCTTGGTGCAGGGGGCGGCGGCGGCGGCGGCGGCGACAGCAGCAGCAGCAGCAGCAGTTGGCGCATAGATTCCTTGATTTAGCCGTGGGCAGAGGGTTCGAGTCGTTCGCTCCATCGTGAACTAAAACTGCCGACGCGACCTCGATCGAAACGAGCAGCAATTAAAGCCATGCGCAGCTCACAGACACACACAGCATCCATTCAATTTGCGCACAAGCCCGACTCACTGAAACAAACGAGACGTTTAGCTCGTCAGGCGCTGCTATAGAGAGACTTCTCTGTAGAGTGGCCAAGTTCCTTGAAGCGTCGGACAATCCCTGCCTGCACGAGGATCTGAGGCCTGCACTCCTGGCATGGCCGTCCAACGGTCAAGTAGACTTGCACCCATCAGCAGCAGCGCAAGTGCGCGGACGGACTCCTCTTCACCTCATTTCAACGTGCACGCGGGGTTCGGTATCGTCGCGACTCAACGACAGCGGTGCAAATCCTCTGACAAGCACAAATCGATCCACGGCTGTCCTCAGTCGCTCATGTGCATCGAAAGACGCAGCACGACGCAGGCTGCCGATCATCTTGCGGCTAGCCTAGCCCTCTGCCCACCCAAGTTCCGTCTGGCAGGCGACAGTCTGAGCCGCTAGCGTGACTCGAGAGTTGTGAACGCCGTGTTGGCGGCCAGAGCTCTACGCAGCGAAACGTCTCATACAAATACGTCGCAAAGTATCCCCAAGGGCTCGCTGCCGCCACCATGTCCAACTCCTATTCACCCGCTGCCGCTCTGGGTGATGGTAGTACAGCTCCTTCTGAGCAGCAGGCCGACCTAGCAACCATACCTGCCCTACCCCGGAGTATCGTCAGTCCTCCAAGCAGCAATCGCAAGCTGAGCTTTACCAACGCGGCTGGTAAAGATCCTCTCCTTCGGCCATCCACACCCGCTTCGCCGTCTCCCATCGGACCCGCGTCACCCAACCGAGGCGGCCAAGCTGGCTCGTTGGGCAATCTTCGTGAAGCGTTGGAAACGCACTCGCCCGTTTCATCGCCCTCATACCGAGCCAGGCGATCTCTTTCGGGAAGCCGCACTGCATCAGGTATGGCTACCCCATCGCAGACTCGTGCTGGTCCTCCTGGCAACATCAGCATCCCGCCAGCACCTGCCTTCCGAGCGTCTGGTGCAGACTCTCCAGCGACGAAGCGAGCGAGCACGTCGGAGAGCATCAATAAGCAGAGCAATGATAGCGAGTTCTCTTCGGCCAGCAACGCAGAACGCGCCAGAGCGATGAGTTTCAAACGTCCTCGGTCTCAAACTCCTCGCTCTCTGCTCAACCGTGCGAGCCTGGGCGTGTTTGGTGGCGACGCGTCCGACGCTGGCGCCTCAGGTCTTGGAGCACCAGGCAGCCAAGGGAACAATCCTCGATGGAGACGTTTGCGCACCACTTCGCGCGCCGCTGGAGGAGGTGGCGGCGGCGGCGATGATTCGGGATGGTCTAGGTTAGATCCCAAACTGCCTCAGCTCTTGCCTGCCCCAGCTTCTCCTTCCTCCTCTCCTATTCCCACTGTGCCATTCGTCGTGCTCTGCCTTGTCTGCTTTGGAGAGTTCAGCTCGGCGGGGGTGGCTGGTCCATTCTTGTTCTTCCAGATCGAAGACTTTGGCGTGGGCAAGGAAGATGAGAGCGCCGTTGGCTTCTGGGCGGGTATCGTCTGTGAGTTGAAGGCGTCAGCCTGTTTCGCAGCTTCAGCCTTCTTCTCAGTCCGTCTGACGTCTTTGCTCGACCTGCGCAGCTGCATGCTTCTTCTTTGCTCAATTCCTCACATCTTTGCTGTGGGCTTCCATCGCCACAGCGCACGGCAGACGTATCGTGCTCCTCGTCTCTCTCGTCGGGAACGCAACATCGCTTGTCCTCTTTGGCATGAGCACTAATCTGCGCATGGCCATCGCTGTGAGGATGGCTCAGGGTCTGTTCAATGGCGCTGTGGGCGTCGCAAAAGGAGCCGTGAGAGATTTGTGCGACGAGAGCAATGAAGCTCGTGCTATGGGTATGCTCGGCTTCTGGTGGGGAATGGGTGGTATTGTTGGGTGAGTTGATGGCGCTTCACATAATATCAGAGTGTGGGTCACTCGCTGAAACGATTAGGCGTTCCCTCCTATTCAGTCCGATTCTTGGCGGCCTCCTGGAGCACCCCGCAGACAAATATCCCAGCATCTTTGGCTCTTCTGTGTTCTTAAAGGAGAACCCTTACGTCTTGCCCTGCATCGTCGCTGCCATGTTCACCGCATCCGGTGCTTTCCTCACGCTCTTCATCGGCCCGGATGGCGGCCCGCGGGAAGGTCAGATTCGGCTGGAGAAGAGTCAAGAGGATGGTGATGCTAGCATCGTTGCCTCTCCCGGTCCGGCTCACTCCAATGTCCGTGCGTCTGGAAGTTGGGGAAGAGCTGCCGGACAGCGAATCAGCGGCTATTTTGGCAATGCTCGGCCCGGTCAAACGGACGTGTCGCTCAGTCGGACAAAGACGTCAGATTCGTCTGCGCTGCCAAGGACTTTTACACAACAGGTTGATGATGAAACAGGTGGTCCTCCTTCACCACCTGTGGATGCGGATGAGGAGGACGAAACAAACGACACGATGCTCTCGCATGATGATGGTGCTTCTGGCTTCGATCGGCGGTCTGTATCTGGTCCTCACGTCAGGCGTCTGAGCCGCACGACTGCTAGACAACGAGGGTTGGGAGGCGGTTCTGCATACGGCTACGATCGACGATTTAGTCGCAACAGCACCCACACTTCTGCGACCGCTGCACCTCTTGGGCAGCCCACATTGCGCCCTCGGGGGCCAGGAAGCATCAGCACAGTCAACCAATACGCTCCAGACTTTGAGGAGATCGGTGCACCGCCTCGGCCTCTCACATGGGCGCAGCGCTTCTTGCTAGCCAACGACGATGCGGTTCACAGTATCACCGATCTTTGGGTCGCCGCTGCGAACGCTGTCGAAGAGTACGCAGAGGTGTTTGAGGATGACGAGTATATGAATGATGGGGAGGAAGACTTCCCCACAGACAGCCACGCTGCTTCTTCCAGCGACGACGACACAGTGCGGGAAGCAGAAGACGACGCGCTGGGGTACGGGGATACGCCCGCTGCAGAAGAACCACCGTCCCACTTGCCTCCTCTGCATTTTGCCAACATGCAACGCCGTATGACCAGAACGCGTAGCACCGAGGCCAGCGGCCGACGTCAATCTGGGCTCTACGCTAACATCGGAGTGGAGAGCCCGCTTCTTTCACCTGTCGGAAATTTGCCTACTTCGCCGCAGCCGCTGGCTTACGAGAGAACAGCATTCGATCCTACCTTGGCCGGCATACCTGAAAGCGCTCGAAACAGCATGCATGTCGGGCAGAGTCGTCTTCCTTTGGCATCGGATCGCGCGTCTCAGGCAGGTGGTCGTCGCGGAGCATCTTTGGCAAGGATTGAAAGCGCTAGCGTGGTGGAGAGTGCGATAGCGAAGGTCTCGCTCGATCGCACGCCTCCTCCAAGCTTATGGAGCCAGCTCCCACTCGTCTTCATTGGCCATTACGCACTGCTGTCGTTCCATTCTTCCACCTTTGAACAAGTCTTTATGGCCTTCCTCGTCACGCCGTATCCTTCAGGAGGACTTGGACTGACTGCGGCTCACTTTGCTGAGCTGATCGCCGCAATGATGATTGCCCAGGTAGTTTTCCAGTTCTACCTCTATCCCAATGTGGTGAGTGGGGCGCTCAGTCCATGGCAAATAGCGCTTTCCCAGCATGAGCTGACGAATACTGTTTCGATTGTAGGGGCCACCGGGTGGCAAGCTGAGCCACTTGGCAATGCTCAGGCTTGGCACCTCGATGTACATTGTCGTGTACAGCTTGTTCCCCTTACTTCGCTACTTCATCCGGGACGACGATGCCCTCGTGATGACGGGCATGGTGCTCTTCGCAGCGCTCAGATGGGCCGCTAATATCTGCGCCTTCACCGCCGTCGCGGTTCTGATGAATGCTCTTTGCCCACCTCAGTACCTTGCACTTGCCAACGGGCTTGCTCAAACGTGCTCGAGCGCATGCAGAACCATCGGACCGATCATTGGAGGTTACTTGGCCGCCAAAGGCATCGAAGGCGGCTTTGAAAATCACGTGTGGCCATTCAACTACTACCTCGGCTTCCACACCGTCGGACTGCTCGGTTTCGCAGGCTTTTTGCACTGCACTCTTTTCATCAGGTGATGGGGCTCCTCATCTCCCACCTCATGCTCACCTCACATCACGACGCCCAAAATCACGTTTGCACTCTCATCTCCCCCAACTTTCACTGTACTACTTACCTCACACTTTGAAACCCTCCGCAATCCTCGCACAATTCAAGAATCAGTAATCTGGCCAGGATCGATGACCGAGCGAGCAGCTTCACACCTCACAGTCGCACTTCTATAAAGGACTAAGCATTCCATCGCTATTGTGACTGTCTCGGACAGTCTCGCCTCGAGACGAGGGTGTATAGGCGTGGTTCTAGACCAAGCAAGGGTACGAGCAAAGAGAAAAAGACTCGAAGCGTGGCAGAGCAACAAACATTGTCCAGGGGACGTGACGAGAAGGGGGGCGCTGAAATCATGCGTGGCCAGACGCTGACAGGGGATGGGACAGCAACGAGCGAGCCGCACTAGGCGTATAGGGATCGAAAGCAACCGGGATCAGATCAGGTATGGGGAGAGCAAACTTTACTGCGTCTTGCGCTTGCACGTCTTCTCCTCCTCCTCTTCGGGCTCAGACTCGGCCTCCTCCTCTTGATTCTGGCCATCAGCATCGCAGCTCTCCTCATCCTCATCTTCCTCCAAGGCGCATTCCTCAATAGGTTCAGCATCACCTTGTGCGCGAGTCTTTTTGATCGAATCTGCTGCGATCTCGGCAATAGCGTATGCGGCGCTCTGCGTGTGCGCACTGAGCGAGATGGGAATGACGGAAGCATCTACGACTCGAAGGTTGGACGTTCCGTAGACACGAAGCTCCTCGGAGACTACTCCGCCGTCTTCCTCTGCTTGCATCGAAGCAGTACCGGTAGGGTGGTAGTTCGTCTGCGTCGTCTCCTGCGCCCACTTCTTGCAATCTTCGTGCGTCTTGTCGGCAAGTGCAGCATCTTGCACAGTCAGACTCTTGAACTGCTCCGTTTGGATCACTTGCGTGAGCACTCGACCAGCAGCGATCGTCAGCTCCATGTCCGTCTCGTGCGCCAGGTATTGATGGTCGATGACGGGAGCTTCAAAAGCGTTGGCCGACTTGATGTGCACGTAGCCTCGCGAAAAGGGCGCTTGAATGGCACCCTCGATGGCAATCTTTCCAGCCGTCATGGTGCCCAGCAGCACCTCGAGTGCGGGCTTTGCGTGACCACTCAAGCCGTCCGACTTCCTCTCGGGTAGCAAATCGTTCAAGAGCAAATCATACTGCTTCTTGTAACCTTTCTTGACCTCGCTGGGCAGCTTGGCCGCATCGAGGTAGGCATCGCTGGCTGTCTTGGCGCGCTTGAGGACCTGTTCGGTATTGTTGCCATAGATCTGCTCGAGAGAAAGGTAGGCTACGGCCGAGTCAACGTAAGAGTTGAGAGCCCTGTCGCCGGCGCTGTAAGCAGGACCAACGAGACCATCCTTTGTTTGCGCCTCGATTCGTCCGCTGAGGTGGTCCTGAAGGTTGCGACCCACACCAGGCAGGTCTTTGACGACGTCGATGTTGTGCTTTTCGAGAAGCTCGGAGCGGCCGATACCAGAACGCTGCAAGATGGCCGGAGTCTGGTAGGCGCCGGCAGACAGAATCACTTCGCGTCTGGCCGTTAGTAGGACCCTTGGCGCGTCAGCGGATGCGGCGAACTCCACGCCGAGCGCACGGCGCAGACCGTCCTCATCCTCATCGTCGTCGATGACGACCTTGGTGACGACTTGGTTGGGAAGAATCTTGATGTTGTCGCGGGTGTTGCAAATGGGGTCAATGTACGCGTTGCGCGAGAAGGAACGGTGACTGTTCTCGTCGATGGTCGAGGCAGCTAGGTAAGCGCCCTGGGTTTCACCGTCGTACGGCGATTTTGCCTGCTTGATGCCCAGGGAAGCGAATGCGGGCACCCACTGGGCGACGGCTTGGTACGATCTCTCGGGGAAACCGACGTGAAGAGGTCCGCTGTGACCGACGGTGTCGTTGTACTTGCTCGTGTACTCTTTGAGTTCCTTGACAGAGTTGCCGACGTACGTTGTGCTCTTCTGGTGAGCGTCGCGGAAAGAGTGCCAGCCCCAGAGCTTGCGCGAGCCTGCGATGCGGCTCCACACTTGATGCTCACGGACAGAGGCTTGAACGTAATACAGTCCGTTGATGGCTGATGAGCCGCCGAGCACCTTTCCGCGAGGAAGAGCTAGATGACGGTCAGCTGCCTGCGCCTGAGCGTCGGTCTGCAGCTTCCAGTCTAGGTCGGTGCCCACAGAAGAGTTGTAGTAAGCACCATTGGGCGTAAGTAGATCGTCTTCGTGGGCAAAGCCAGAGTGTCCAGCTTCGATGACGGCGACCGTTACGTCGTCATCCTCGCTGAGTCTGCCAGCTAAAGTCAGACCTGCATTTCCGCCACCGACGATGATGTAGTCAAAGGGCTCAACATCGTCGCCAGCAACTTCCTCCCACGACTTGGCGATGCACTTTCCAGCAGTGGCGCGACGGTAATGACGATATTGAAGAGCTGCACTGTGGTGACGCGAGCGGCGCGCGTGCTGGGGCGCGTGCTCCAGGGATGCAGCCACGAGCGGCAGTGTGAGTGCAGCGGCGAGGAGGAGAAAAGGAGATGTGAGAAGCATGATTGGATTGAATGGGTTTCCGATAGATAGTCGGCAGGTAGGTATCGAAGCGGTCTACGCTCGCTCGCTACGGGAACGGGAGGGTGAGATGAGTACGTGTCGAGGTGACTGTAGGACCGTTTGATAGCTGACTGTTCGAAGAGGAGAAAGAGTGTGCTGAATGAAGTGAGCGTGCGGCAGTGGTCGGGACGTAGCAGAATCACAAGCTGCTTGTGATGCTGGCTAGAAGCTGTTTGTTGAGGGACAGAGGGGGGTGAAGGGGAAGTGAGAGTGGGAGTGAGTGGGAAGTGGGGGTGGGGGTGGGGGTGAGTGGTAAGTAAGACTCGAGTGACGGAGATGGAGATCGACGTACGAATGCGGGTTGGAGATTTGGGGATCAGCTACGAGCCTTTCGAAGGCGAGTCTGAATGATCGGCGAAGGTGGAAGCGGAATGCAGTGAAAGGGAGGGACGAATGGTGATCAAGTGAAGAATCGCAGCGATGCTCAAGGATGCAGGAGCATTTGCTTGGTATACAGTACGCACGACCGTATCCCAGTCGCACGCTTTGCCTCACGTCGTCCTGAAGCTCGTCAGCAGTCGTGAGTCAAGAGTCACAAGTCACAGTCACAGTCACAGTCACAGTCACAGTGTGAGTGCCAGCCGGCCCCAGCAGTCACGAGGAGTAGTGCCAAGCAGAAAGCAATTCCACACGGCCACGATCGGTATGTCGGGCTGAGAGCAGCAGAAGACCCGGGCCGCGCTGCGCTGCTGCTGGTGGGTGGCCCTTCTCTGACGATCTGCAGCATGGCCGTAGCCAAGAAGCTGGAACTCCTCGGATGCGTTCGATGATGCTCCTCTGCAACATGATGAACATGAACCCGCGGCAACGCTTGCAGAGACGAGACCAGCCGAGCCGAGCCCATGACTTCATTGGCTTGAATGTCTGCTGATGTGCATAGATGTGCCTGACCACCGCGCTGTGATGCCAATCAACGACGCGGTGCGCAGTTCAAGAGTTGCTATCGGCACGATAAGTCACGATTAGCCAGCAGCGCTGTGTGAGTCTGTGGCTCAGACTGCAGCCAGTAGTCACGAGTAGTCTTGCCCAGCAGCAGCATATATGCACTCGTAGCCTCACTCAACGCAACATTTGGCCTCGGACAAGACAGGTCATCGTCATCGTCATCGTCATCGTCATCGTCGCATAAGCGCAACTCTTGAGTTTTGAGTCGTGAGTGTCACCGCTGAGGGCCGCGCGGCGCGCCTTGCACTTGCACTTGATGCAGCCCCACAAGCCACCTAGCTGAAACGCGGGGGCGGATGTGCTGGTGAGGCGCGCAGGCGGGAAGAAAGGAGTTGTGATCGAGTGCATGGGCGTCGCGAGTGCAGCATGTGAGTGTGCGCGATCCAATCGTGAAATCGGGCGCTAATCGAGCGTCGTGAAGCTCATCTTGTTGCATATATGTCTGCTGTGCCTCACTCTTTCTGCTGACTGGCTAAAAGACATTCGTATCCAAACTCCGAGGTCAAGTTGCGTCGAAGCCTTGCCGCACTTCGGTCACAAGCCATGCATCCAGAGGGCGCTCTGCTGCTCTAGCAATGAGCTGATTGTAGCTAGGATGTTTCCCAATGATTGTGAGCATATAGCAAGGAAGCATGCGGCAGGTGAAGCAGGTGTGGGCGCCAAGGAAGTTCGACCACAAATAATCGATGCTGCTGCTGCTAAACGCGCCGTCGAGCCGAAATACTGCAGAAGCGTGCTTGCGCTTCTTGGCAAGCACGTCCTCGGCACCTGACCACATACATGCACACGCGGTCTAACGCGTACACTGAGCAGCACCCAGCTCTGGAGCATGCATGGGGGGAGGGCTCTTCATGCATGCAGGTGTGCATATCTAGGCAACCACTCAACCCGTCTTCGGCGTCACGCCTTGCTCACCCCGGGACATCCGCGCGAGATCAAGGCTGACTGCAGAGCAGAGAGGCCTTCACATAGCAACTGCTGTGACTACCGTGAGGACCGCGCGCACACGGAGCTACGATCTAACAGAGTGGGCCGGCCGCGTCCCTCGCTGATAGTATTGACAGCACTTGCCCAGGAATGGTCACCACGAACAACAGCCATCAGCAGCTGACAAGGCTGCTCCAATGGCTAAAAATCCCATTTGTACATGTGACCGACTACACACTCGAGAGGTGCGCGAATCAACTCAAGAAAGCGGGGGTTCATCCAAAGCATTAGCAGCGTGTGTGCAGACAGGGGCCAGACGTCACGCTTCGTCAAAGCGAGCGGTGCAGCAAGCCAAGGCTGATCTGCTGGCATGCCGAGGCGCGGCTCGAGCGCAGCCAAAATCTAGTTCCTCTTCAGTAATGTGAATGTCACTCTGATGAGATGAGTTGACCTGCGCTACGCTGCTGCTACTTTGACTCGAAGTACGCATCGCATCGTGTTCACGTGATTGACACGCGCCGAGTGCGACTTCTTGAGAAGAAGCCTGCATGCGAGCCAAGACCTCTACAGAAGAAGTCAAATGCAAGCAATCGCGTGACTGGCATTGATTGACATTTGGCTCAAGGGCACGAGGACACGGCATTTGGAAGCCACCAATTTGCGACTGACATTCGATGTAGGTCGCGGAAGCTCCGTGGACGTGCGCTAAGGGTCCACACAAAGCCGCTGATCAACATGGATATGTGCATTGCCTCGTAACATCATCTTTGCAAACAGCCAAATGGTTAGCTTGGTATCGTGGGAGAAGAAATGCAGGGTCAAAGCACTGCTACACGTCGAGAGGCAAGCATTCCTCTTCGCGGCCTGTGGATAGGGCCAAACAGCTCTCCGCTCTTGCTTGCCTGCAACACCAGCGCGGTCGTAGGGAAAGCTCGCCGCGGCCGCTTTAAAGACTGATGTGACATCCGCTGCCCTTCCCTCCCGTTTGCGTGCCATCACTGCGATCATTGTGGATGTCCGTAAATAGACAGCCGCTACAGACCTCCCTAGCTACCAGCATCGTAGCCAGAGTGAAGGAGAAGGAGAATGAAGGGCTCCGCGAAAATGAGACCCACAAGTCTGCAAAGCGAGCAATTGCACAGTCAAGCCTGCCTTGTGCAGAGCTCGACAAGGTGAAGAGGCTCGGTAGAGAGAGAGGTCTTGAAGAGCTCCGACGTGTTTCTACCTACTAGGTCCATTCCTTCGAGGCCGCTCGAAGATCAGCTAAATACTTTTTGAGGCGTTCAGTACGCTGACGTGGGCAGGACGCAGGTCCAGTGAGCGAGCGAAGCGGACTACGGCTGGACAGAGTTCAGTCACTCACCTGTGCTTCTTCCTTGACCTTTCTCTCTTCCTTGTCAAGTCGATCCACCTCGCGTTTCGTCTCGAGCAGCTCCGTTCGTTGGTCAAAGACCTCCTTTCGCAAAATTCTTTTGCGTCTCCGTGCGGTGCTCAATTGTCTGAGAAGCGTACTTCTTTCCATCGCGCGCTCCGAGAGCGTCGCAAAGAGCGTTCTGGCCGATCTGCGTATCGTCTTCAGTGCTTTGGCAATCGGCGCTTGCGGCTGAGCATCTCTGCAAACGCCCACGCCACGAAGCTGGGCAACGTCAGGCTGGCGATGCATTTGACATGTCGTCCACAGGGCTGTACTCACGTGGCATCACGCAAATGTCGTTCCACAATTGACCACAGCACATCTACGTCCGTGGGCGCGCTACCACCCTTACTCTTGCTGCTGCCAAGGGCCAATCTGACGACGCTTCGTAGCTTCTTCTTCATTGCTCTTCGCTCTGCAGCCGTCGGCTCTGATCGATTTGAGCTCGCACCCGCCAGCTGCCCACGCGCCGAAGCCAATGTGAGGTCTGCAGCAGTCAAAGACGCGTCTAAATCCTCTGCTTCGAGCTCTTTACGCGATGGCGCACGAGACTTGCTAGACTTTGGAGGTCTTCCTTTTGCCCTGCCACCCTTTGTTTCGGCCTTTCTGGCTGCAGTTCCTTTTGCACGAGCAGCGGAACGCGTCGAAGCTTTCGAGAAGGACAGCTGAGACTGCACCTTTCTGACTGTGCCTGGACTGGCTTGTCTTTTGCGTTTGCGCGCCTCCATCACTCGAGCGGCAGCGCTGACTCCTGGCGAGTCTACATGCGCATCCAGCTCCGGCGATGCAATATAGGGCATCTGGTCGTCCGCCGTAAAACTAGCTGTCTCCGGTCCGCCAAGAAGGTCATCCTCGTCCGAGGGGACGCTTGCTTCGTCGTCTTCTCTCGAGCGAGAGCTCGCCGTAGAGCTGGAGACGCGAGCTCTGAAAGGTGTGCTCGTTGTCGGTGCTCGGGCATTCGATTGCGAAGCAGAAGCTGCCAGGCCTTGATTTCTACCCTTGAGGGCAGATTGAATGAAGTTGACGCTGCTTCGTCTCGAGGCGCCAGCAGTACGATCTGCTCCTTCGATGGTGCGCCTAGTGCCGTGAACTTCTCCATCTCCCATGCTCTGCTCTGCTGCGCCAACAAGCGCTACACTTGGCCTCGCCGTTGCGGCCTTCTCCCTGCCACCCCTCATCGCACTCCTGAGTGGAGCTTGCGGTGCATCTGCATCGGCTCGCCGAGGTGTTTGCACAGCGTCTCGGGCGCTCGAAGAAGAAGAGGCCTTCTGGGCTGTGCTGGATCTTGCTGCCGTAGCTGCCCTTGTGCTTGCGCGTGGTCCTTTCGAGAAAGTGAAGGGTCGTTGCTCGACGCGTTGTGTGCTGTCCGAAGGGACCGAGGTAGTCAGAAGGGTTCGCAACCTGCTCAGAAAAGCCACACTCACCCTGCTCCCCTCATGCGCTCCTGTCGCCGTTCCTGGAAGCGATGGGCCGCGGAGCCGGAAGGCCCAGCGTGCTGCGACATCTTGATAGCGATCACAGTGCCGACGGGATGATCGAGATGGTAGTGTAGTTGGACGATCGAGATCAAGAGCGCCTTTTATAGTCCTGAAGGCCCCTCCCTACCTCCCTCACGACACGGAATGAGGGTTAGGTGGCGACGTAGCAGGTAAAGCAGGACTGGCTGAAAGCGAACGATGGTGGCATGTTACATTGCCATCGAGCTCGTCCGATTGGGCCAACCTGTGGGGGTGAAGTCCTCGACGTTCACGTACCGTAACACGCGGCGATGAGAAAAGAAGCTCGATTGAGTCGAGCATTGCGCTTTGTGATGCAGTAGCAAACACCGCGTGTGCACAGTACGACACCGCGCGAGCCAGACGCGTGCTTTGGCGCGACGCGTTCCCCGCTACCGCGCAGAAGGTGCGGAGAGCAGCTGTAGGCCAAGTTCAAAGCCTGATCGCTCTTCCTGGACCCACCCACGTGCGTCTGGTCGGTCAAAAAGGGTCACGTGTTTATTTTCCGCCGGCAGATTTCTTGGAGGGCTCACCTCACCGCATCATGCGAAACCAGGATACCTGAATGCCTTACCGTTATCGTTAAGGCGAAGCGTTGCAGAGGAGATTCTGTCCACCCAACCGCGAGGACGTGAAGCCTGTTCTGCTTGCTTTGAAGACGCAACAAATCATCAGCAAGGCCACTGAAGAGCCGACTGGGAGAAGTAAGGAAGCGTGCAAGTCAGTCTACCTGTCACCACTCAAAACAGGACAACGCACGACGTGTCAAATATGTCGTTCCGTGGTGGAGGCAGAGGTTTTGGTGGAGGAGATCGAGGAGGACGTGGAGGCGGATTCGGAGGTAGAGGGGGAGCAAGAGGAGGCTTTGGGGGAGGGAGAGGAGGCTTTGGGGGCGGAGGCGGAGGGAGGGGAGGCTACAATGCAGGCCCGCCGGACACTGTGCAAGAAATGGGAAGCTTCGTTCATGCCGTCGAAGGCGAGATGCTGTGCACTTCGACAGATGCCAAGCATGTGCCTTACTTCAATGCGCCAATCTAGTGAGTCTGTTTTCAATCGTCTTCTGCGGCAGGTACGCAGGCGCATGCGCCCTGTCACACGCCGATACTGACTTGTTCCGTACGTCGCGCTCCTCAAGCTTGGCGAACAAATCCCAAATCGGCAAAGTGGACGAGATTCTTGGACCGATCAATGACGTTTTCTTCACAGTCAAGATGGACGCCGGCATGGTAGCGACCAGTTTTAAAGCGGATGATAAAGTCTTTATCGGTGGTGACAAGCTTCTGCCCATCGAAAGATTCTTGCCCAAGCCAAAGGCGCCTAAGGGTGAGTATGGTGCTGGACACGCATGCGATCTGCATTCAGTCCATCATTTCCGTCAAATCCTTGATGTGAGGATAGAGAGTGGAGAATCACCGCTGACACTATCTCGCTGTTTCGCTGTTTCGCGCGCACAGGAGCCAAAAGAGGAGGTGCCAGAGGCAAGCCAGCTTCTCGCGGAGCTCCGCGGGGTGGAAGAGGCTTTGGAGGTGGAAGGGGCGCACCTCGCGGACGGGGAGGATTTGGGGGTGATCGGGGAGGCAGAGGCGGAGGCGGCTTTGGCAGAGGTGCTCCGAGGGGAAGAGGTGGGTTTGGCGGAGGAGCAGGTGGTAGAGGAGGTTTCAGAGGCGGTAGAGGAGGTTATTGAGCGCGGCATCTTGTGTAGTCTGCGCCCGGATGTGCCCATCTCTGGTCCGATCATTCATGCTACAGTAGCTTTCTCGTTCACCGGTGTGAAGCGTCGCGTCCTGCGTGTCCGAACGTATGCTCATCAGGCTAACAATGACAGGCGAAGTCGGACCGCGCATTGAGTCTGACTCAGCGAGGCGCCCTCTTCGCTGAGTACAGCCCAGTCTAGCTCAGTCTAAAGCGTACCTGACGGCTCGCATTTCACATACTAAAAGTGCTCATACATTGCACGTATTCTTGCGCCTTCGATAAGCTACGTCGATCATGTATAATTTCCCGATCCCTGCTCAAGACAGGAGCCGCCGAGCGCAGCGAGGCGTAGGACTTTTCGTCGCGATGCAGAGGAGATTCATCGACGCTTCCTAGATACCGAGCTGCTCTCCACTTCCTTTGGGTCTGCAGGGGCAGAGCGCTTGGTTCTCGCGCTCGACGTCGATGACGTATTCGTTGTGGCAGTCTTCTCGTCAGTGGTCGCGCGGCCAGCTCGTCTAGCAGCTCTGGCCTCGCTCCTAGCACCTTCTCTTGACTCCTTGCTCTCCCTTTCCTTTCCCCTGTCCCTCTCTCGCTCGCGTTCGCGATCTACTTCAGAGCCGCGAGAGCTTCTCTCCCGCTCTCGATGGTCGTTCCTATCCCTTCTGCTGCGAGCACCGCTTCCACTGCCGCTTCCCTCCTCGTCAATGCTGACAGCAACCGAAGAGTGTCTGGACCGCTCTCTCTCCCGCTCACGTTCACGCTCCCTCTCTCTGTCTGTGTAGCCACCCCGCGCGTGCGAATCTCGATCCTTAGAAGGAGGAGGTCCGTCGAAATCAGCATCGTGGTGGGAGCTTGAGTCGTGCCCACTCCTACGCGCCGATCGCCGCGAGTTCCTGCCCGATACGCTGTCCTGATCGTCGTCTCGTTCTCTAGAGTATCTTGACTCTTCCTCGCGGCCCCTGCCTCTCCGATCCGCGCGCGGTCTTTCCTCTCGAGTATTGTTGCTGCCTCTAGCCTCCCGACTTGTCGAGCTCCCTCGAGCCTCTGATGGGCTCAAGCTCCTTTCTGGGCGAGCTGAACCTCCACCACCGCCACCTCCGTAGTCCAGATTCTCAGCATCTCCTGCTCCAGAATCTCGGTCATTGTACCTCCGTCCTGGGTTGCGCGGCCCAGTGGGAATGGGCACATTGGACTTCAAGCCAGGATTGGAGGGGCCGGTTGGTATGTGAGGCACGCCGCTTGCTGCCGAGCCTCTGGCGCTTCCACCTCTCGCTGCTCGGCCGCCCTGATTCGGAAAGCAAGCAGCAGCGAGCTGTATCAGCACGTGATGCAAGCGGCGCGCAATCCCACATGCGCGTGAGAGCATGGATACCAACTCACTCTCTTCGCATCGCCTCGGGGCCCATCCGATTCGGCTGTGGCATCAGCAGCCCCTGTTCCATTTGTCTTGCGTTCTGCTAGATATCAAGGCGCGAAGGTGTGAGTCCGCGAGCCACGATTAGAATATGGTGCTTTGACATCAGAGCGCACGCGACTCACCCCCATTCTCGTTGCTACCGGACGGCGCGCCCTCCGCCCTCGGACCGGGAGTCATATTACTTGATCCATTCTGATCGTGCTGCAACGCCTGTGCCTGTGCAGCGCGGACCGCAGCGGGCGCGTTGGGAGCTCCAGGCGGGGGTGTGGCAGTGGCGCCCTCGACAGGCGCACTGGAAGGAATTCGGCCTCTCGCTCCCGCAGGGCCGGATGGCATCCCAGCTTGCTGGCCCGGTTCAGCAGGACCGGTTGGAGTGAACTGGTGGGGCGGCTGTTGGCCAGGATGACCTGGATATTGGTGCATCTGTTGTTGCTGAAGTTGTCCTCCTTGAGATTGATACCCCTGTTGCTGAGGGCCAGAAGGCGGCAACGTTGGAGGTGGTGGAGGTGGCGCAGGTGCTGCCAAGCCTATGCCCATGAAAAGCGCGATCTGCTCTAGGGTCATGCCTGGCATCATTGGTTGCATGCTTTGCAACTGTTGCACCTGCATGGGACTCAGCTTCGCCAATGCACTGTCCGGATCGCGTTCCTTGGCTGGCTCGGGGGACTGTGTTTCGCAATAAGCCAAAATTTTGAAAGGCAGCGGTTAGGCGACAGCAGCGGGCAGGCCCTTCAACGATCGTTTACTCACCTCTCTCTCGAATCGCTCTCTCATCTCTGTCCTGCCACGTTTGATATCTGTGTACCTATTCCACGTCTCCTCATCAAAGCCAAAATTGAACCAGTCGCTCAAATCAGCTCCCGCTTTCCTCCAAGGCTTCTCCGAGAAGGTGGTGGGATCTACATCGTAGATGCTAGTCCCGGCAACTGTTCCTGCAACAGCGCCATCGGGCCCATTCTCGTCATTTGCAGCGTCGCCATTCGCCACTGACAGGGGCACAGTGAGCGATGCTGGGTCAGGCGAAAGGTGCAGAGGCGGCGCTGTAGGCGGCGCTGATACGGCAGGGAGCTCAGGAGCTGGTAGAGGTCCTGCGGTTGGACGGCTTTGCTGAAAGGGTCCCAAGGGATTGGGCTGGAGCGTCGCGCTCGCGCTGCTCTTTGGTGGCTGTTCTTGCGCCTGGCCTTGGGGTGCAGCTGAGAGGGCAGATGTCGGTGTAGCTCTAGCGCCTGAGGCTGTGTTGAGAGTCCCAATCGCTGTAGCCGCGCCGGCTCGGGAAGGTAGGGAGCCGCGCTGCACAGGCTCGTACTCCGTTGTCATGGTCGATGCTGCGGGTCCTGTATGCCAAAGCAGCAGCGAGCATAGGATGATACGTCGTCGGATGAGATGAATACACGTCTTTCCGAACAGTTGGCCTCTACTCTCACTTACCTCTCGGAGCATCTGGGCGAGCTTGAGCTGGAACGGCTGCAGGCTTGACATAGGGCTGGGCGGGAGGTCGAGCAGGGGCTTGACTGGCGTCCAGTACGACTTCCAGATCCTGTACAAATAGCATAGGTGGACAAGGAAGGCGCACAGTCAGCGGGAACTGTACGGACGCCCTGCATGCCGTGAGGTACAACTCACGTCATCGCTATCCTCTTCCTCGTCGTCATCCTCCTCCTCCTCATCTTCCCCCTCCTGTTCCTCGGTGCCGCCCTCCATGTTCACATCCTCGGGGCCCGCAGCGGTGTCGGAACTTTGTTGCACGGCAGTCTGCTTAGTGTCCTGGCTTGTGCTCGATGCGGCAGCGGCGGGGGGACCATCACCATCTCCGTACAGGAAAGCGTCGTCGTCGTCTCCGTCCATGGCGGTTGGACTTTTGCGTAGTTGGAGGTCTGCGGGTGCTTCCAGACACACAGTCGGACCCTGCTTATCTTCTGCCTACAGTCCGCCTTGCGCCGCGTTGAAGATCGAATGGGAAGATGAAGAAGCTGAAGGCAGCTCGTCTCACGTCTTGTCCGAGAGCAAGAGGGATTTCGTGCCTCAAGGAGCCGACACTTTGCGCTCCTCAAAGTCGTGAGTACTCGCTCGATCCAGACGTTTGACCTCGACTTCGGTGTCGTTCGTGTCAGAGCGCGGGCGCGAGGCAAACGAGACACACACGTGACTTGGCAACAGACGCGCACATGTCATGCCGTTCTCGGCCGCTTGCGCGCGGCAAGGCCAACCAAACGCCGGCATGCGCGCGCACGCAGATTCTTGATTGTCATGATGTGACCGATCGACATCCCCTGCTGCACGCACAGCAGCTACTTTGACTTGACTGTATTCAAATTGGCATCCTTGTCATTTCACATCCTGAATCGTGATCTCTGCTCTGCGACTCTGCAATTTGAATCAGACCAGACCGGATGATCGCATGGGCATCAAACCACAAACATGATCAATGCACGCGTGATTTTGCATTCACATTCAGGCAAGCAATGACTGACGATCGCCAACTTGGCCTCGCCGCTACGCTAACAACACCAACGCGACCATTGTGAGGAAAGCAAGCAAGCAAGCATGCACCAAAGCGCTCAACCGTCGCGGATATGCGCGCGTCGAGCTCAACGGTCAGCCCGCAGTACGAAGCGTCACTCACACACTTTTGCAAATGTGGGAAACAGCGCAGAAGGTATGGAGAAGGCGCAACGCAACGGTTTCAATCCAGCACTCAAGACTTGCTCGTGCATGGTGTTTGTATCCAATGGATGGCGCTTACTACAGCAATGACGCTCGCCGCAGAACAAAGCCTGGCTGCTCCAAGCTCCCCTTTGCTCACAGCCCTTCGTGCGCACCATCATCCTCCCTCCCCCGACAGTAACAGCAAAAGCACCGTCAAGCTGAGAAAAGCTTAAATGGTCTCGCTAAATAAGCTCGCCGTACTTCGACGCACCCATTGAAGACGCGGTCCGCAGTGCATCAGCCCACCCTTGCCTTGCCTCCTGCTAGACTTTCCAGCCTTCACTGACCCCTGCCAAGCTCACCACCTCCACCCTTGCCTCTGATCCCTCCTACGCCTGCCGCAATCCGGCCTCAGCATGAAGCTCATCCAGTATCGCCCATGCGTGTCGACATGCTGGCTGATGCTCATCGCTGGCCACGTAGTCCAGGGCCAGTCAGCACTGCTTCCCCCTGCTCAAGCCATCAGCTCCTCCACGCCAGCGTTCGCCGCTGCCCCTTCAGCCCTACCCACTCTCCTCGCAGCCCCCGGCAGCAGCGGTATAGGCCCCTCACCGGTCGCTACCGACGCTTTATCGGTGCCTCAACCTTCTAGCCAGGCGCCCACGGTGTGCGACCCGCGCAAATCAGTCCTGGATCCCCTCACTCATCGTTTCCGCTCCGACTGCGGAGCTCAAATGTGGTGCGACCCCGGCAGATCGTCTAATGCACCTGCGCCGCCACTTCAAAGTGCAAGCGTAGCGAAAAGACTCGCTGATGACCCTGAATCGATCGAGATTGCCAACGCAGATCGGGAACAAGTGGACATACCACCGCCTCTCTTGCTTGCTCGCGAAATGTTGCTGCCGAGCAACAAGACCGCGAAACAGACATCGACATCGATGATCTCCAAAAATTCGCGATCTGTGCTGCTGTATGATCGAGGCGAAGCAAATCCCAGCTCGTCTTCGAGCACCGTCGCCTTGCCAAGCAAGAGCGCCAGCGACACCACCTCTTTGTTGCCATCCGCTGTGATTTCCACAGCTGGACGAGCCGGAAATCCAGCGACTGGCACGTGCAGACCAAAGGGATGCCGGAAAGATGAATTCCCGTTCGGCTACAAGGGCATTCCTACAGAACTCTTGCCTCCGCTTTGCGGACCCGGAAGCGTGAGCAAAGCACAGCGCGAATCTCCGCTGGTCCAGGTGTGGGTCTCGACTCACAATTCGATTGCCTTTCGCTATCTCCTTGGCCCAGTACTGTCCCGACGAAGAGTCAGCTTGCCAGCGTCTGATATCAGTCGGCGGTGACTGCGAACTGAATCGGGACGGTGAGTGAGATGAGCCACGCGAGAGCTTTGCGCGCGACGAGCTGACCATTTCTGCTCCCACTCTCATCACAAGACTCATGCATGTCGCCTTCCGGTGGGCTGAGCTCGGCACCGGCCGTCAAAAGGCAGTCTGGACTGCTTCTTCCAGGCGCCTCTTCATCCAGCACTGTCAAGGCAATTTGCCTGGCTGGCAGGTGCACCTTGGCCAGTGTGCAACTAGGCCAGGGCTGCGTGCTCGACCATACGCAGTATCTCGGGTATGACATGAATGGCAAAGAAGTAGGAGAGACGGTCTCGTGAGTGGGCGAGGGGAGATTCTGGCCCTTAATCGAATCCGACTTGCGAAATACGTCTGAACGCCACGCTTACCCCGGTACTCGTGTGCCCACCGCGTAAGACGCGATGATTGCCATGAAGGGCTGTATTGCGATTCTACAAGCAGCACATGTATGGCAGAAAAGCCTTATGGTGAGGGTTGCGGTTCTGACAGAGAGTGCATCGAAGTGAGTGAGAGGCGACTGGGCCGCAACGACACGAGAAGGTGCGCGCTGATGCATGATCAATCTCAATGCCACACTCAATGATAAACGCCAGTACAATTGCAACTCGCAACATCTTTGCGACTTGCCGCCAGAGGCTCCACATCGACTTCCGAGCTGGGCTTTCGGCCTGGTGGGGCTGGGTATCTTTGCCTGTGCGTATAGTCGGAGCGGTGTCACCGAAAAGCCCTTTGGGCAGCTCTGATTGATGAAACTTCGCATCTCCTCAAAAGTCCTCGCCATGACCGTCACGCTGCTCTACCGCACGCACACTGCGCACAGGGTCGCAAGAGCAGACGAGATTGATCGTTATTTCAGCGAACAGTGGACATACAGGCAGTCGATCTTGGCCATGCACGCCGCTTTCGTAGCCAGCGGAGTTGCGGCATCGGAGCTGCTGACAGGCAGCAACCTGCTGTCTGCGGCTCAAGATGGTCATTCAGCCGCGGCAAGACTCGACGGCACTCTGAATGATGAATCGAGCGAGCAAAAAGGGCGCGCTCAAGATCAGACGCGCGTCGATGTCGCTTCCGCCGCAAATCCTTCGAGACGCATGTTTGCCAAAGAGGAAGATGACGCTCGAGACGCGACTTCTCAAACACCGCAAGTCGTCATCAGGCGCAAGCCTGCTCCAGCAGTCTAAGGGCTTCACAGCATACATGACCCTCACAGACCGTGTGGCCGCCGCACCCGTCTCGTGTCCGTCGTGCTGGAAATTCCGACAAAATCTTCTAAACCGTAGAAGAATGAGGTGTTTGACTTACACTTGCGGCTCTTCAGCTCATGCTGCAATATGCGTATCAGATTGAGACTTGCACTTGTGCGATTATGCGATATTGACAAAAGAGTGGGTGTGGTGGTGCTCGGGTAATGGTGGGAGATGTACCTCTTGAGAGCGAGGACAGAAAGGAGAGGCGAGGACTGTGACGATGAAGAACGACTTTCGACCCATGTCAAGAGACCAGGACGAAATCGAAGGATGACCATGGGATGGGTTGAGAGCAAGGAATCAATGGAAGATGAAATTGAAAGAAGAGAGAGTATCTCGGCACTAGAGTAAGGGTATTGTTGAGGAAAACTAATGATAGTTGTACGGGTAGAAGCAGATGAATCGAAGATCAAGCGCTGGGCCAATAGCAGTCGCAATCGCGATCTAGCACGAGATTGGAGATCACCTGGCGTATGCTCCGCTCTCTTTCTCGTTGAGTACTTCGAGCGGATATGTATCCTTTTCCTTGCTATGTGACCGCGACTGGGCTGGCTGCGAGTGATCATGGGCTTGCTGACCCTGAGCGCTATGATTTAGAGACGAGACGGAAGGTGCGGCCGATAATTGCCCAGTGCTTCCCTTGTAAGCTCTCGCATACTCGGCAGCTCGGCTTGGACCTCGCGATGATCCTCCTGCTCCATTTGGCCCCGCATGTCCCTTCTCGGCCCAAACATGAGCGCCGCTATCCGCGGAGGCAGGCAATCTGCTATCGTGGGATTGTTGAGCACCTGCATGGCCTGAGCCGATGTCGGGCGAGCCGAGCGCAGGCGCGCCGGTGCCGCCCGCTCTCGAAGGGCCAGCGTTCTGTCCACCTGTCTCCGCCAAAGGTTGATCTGCAAGCGTATATGCCATGCTAGATGTCTGAGACGAGCTGGCAGCGTCGGTATCCCGATCCCGGTTTCGCCTGACTCGGAAGTAAGATTTGCGCGTTTGTTTGAGGTGGTCGAACGGCACAAAGCTGCATGACAATGCGACGCCACGTGAGTCACTAGCTAGCTTTTCACACCAAATTGTCAGCACTTACTGCTCTTCCATTTGTCGCAACTCAGGCGTAAGTGAGCTGAGCTCTCGCTTTTCGTCTCGCTTCTTAGCCTTGAGCGGATTATCTTCCAGCAACAGTTCCTCGAGTTCGTGCGTGGCATCGAAATTGGCCCGTTTGCTCTGAAAACGAAGAGCAAGTCTGCGATTCAGCCAAGTCAATCGGCGATCGGTGCGGCTCGACCATCACTTACATCTGGCTCAAAGGGTGGTGTAGCTTCCTTGGTCTCTAGAGCATCCCAATCCACGCTAGCAAACCAGGGGTGCTGCTTAAAGTCCTCTATGCCGTTCCGACAGCCCATGCGTTTCTTGACGTCCCGCTCCAGCAGACCACGTATGCATGTGATGCACTCCCTGCTCACGATGTTCTCGACATTTTCAGGAAAGGAACACCTGTCGTGCAATATTGAGTGCGTCAATGCGCTGTTGGTCTTGCCCCTAAATGGCCGCCTTCCAAACAGCAGCTCGTATGCCATGACGCCCAAGCTCCACCAGTCCACAGTGCTTAAATAGCCGCGCTTGGCTAGCACTTCTGGTGCCATGTATGCCATACTACCGGCAACCGAGGTCAGCGGCCTCCTGTGAGAGAAGTGGACTGCGATGTTGAAATCTGTCAAGTGGGCATGACCTTTCTCATCCAGCAACACGTTGTCCGGTTTTAAATCTCGATGCACGATCTGCAGCCGGTGAAGGTAATCGAGGCCTAATGCGAGTTCAGCAACGTAGAACCGCACCACCTCCTCTTTCATGTTGCCCGATCTATCCAAGTGAAAGCGCAGGTCACCGCCGAGCATCAGATCGAGAACCATGAACAGATTCTCGTCGTCTTGGAAGGCGTACTATGTCGGAGCCACAGAAATGTCAGGCGCTCTGCTGCCGTCCAGGATAGCGTCGACGATGAGAACTCACCCGCAAGTTGCAGATGAAAGGGCTCTCTATCTCCTCTAGTAACCTCCTCTCCTGTATGATGTTTGAGACTGCTCGCATCTTGACACATTTGGCCTTGTTGATATACTTGAGCGCGTACAAGTTCTGGAGAAAGAGACGGGTCGTTCAGTCAAGTACAGATGGGCGTAAGACGAGATAAAGATAGACTTGCTCTGCCCACAAAGATCCCACACACTCCCGCATCGTCTACCACTACGCACCTTTGTCTGCTTGTGCTGAACCACTCGCACCTTTCCGAACGCACCCTTGCCCACCGCCCTGAGCAAGTAGAAGTGGTACAAGTCCACCGGCCCGTCGAAGTCGATCACCTGTGATGAAGCAGTGGAGCAAGCTCTGGTCAGAAGCTGCAAGCATATCTTCCGATCGCGGGCCTTTCGCCATTGCTTGTCTGAGCAGACCCGCAGGCTTCGCTGGCCAACTCACCTCCGCCTTACAGCATGAGCATATGGCGCCCATCTTGCAGCGCTGACGTGTCCTCAAGCCAAGCTCCAAACGCCAATTGCAGTCACTTGGTGAAGGTGATAGTCAGGATCAAGTCGGGCGTCAAAAAGCAGCAGTCTCGGGATCCTGCGCTCGGCTACCGATGGCGGACAGGCGTGAGTTCGGCGCACGATGAATCGGTAGCTCGTCGAAGGGTGTTTGGCCTGAATATTTGATGTGATGTGAGTTCAAGTTGCTTGAGCAGCCGTTGCTAACAATGTAGGGCCGTTGTAAGGGCAGACCAGAGGCGCAGGGCAGGGGTCCCAGTGCAACGAGGACTTGGAAGAGGCACGTGTACGCTTCTCTTTGCCGCTCGTTTGAGATTTCCGGGTTGAAGACAAATTGAAAACCGAAAGACCTCGCTGCTGACTCGTCGAGACCGGAAGTCCGACCGTGTCGTGTCAGACACACCCAAAGTCGACGTGGGCAGCCCCTTGAGTATGCTTGTAGAGGAGCAATGACGAGCACGCGGTAGCGATCTGCGCGATGCGTGCGCTTGCGCGAGTTGAGGTTGGCGATGTGAGCAGCTGTATAGGCAATTAACACGATTCGCACATCAACGACGATCGCAACGGCGGTTCTTGGTCAAAGGCGTCGGTCGGCGTCTACAGAGGCGGATGGCGTTGGCTCTCAAATGGAGGGTGACGCAGGCGTTCGGAAGGTGCTAAAGTCCCGAGCTGTCTGCAGGTACAGAGAAAGCGTTGTTCTTGGTTCGGAGGATAGTTGGGCGCTCGAAGGTAGGAAGGCGGGCGCGGGAGGTAGTAGGAAGGAACGATCAGAGCTGGATGGCGATGCTGGTGCTGTGAGTTGGCAACAGCGGCAGCAGCAGTCGTAGTTGCACGAATGACGGCTAATGATCGGTCACGAAAGGTGAAGGCTGATGATGGGATGGGCTTCGCTCACTCGTGACTCCAGTCAGACTCGAGGTTCACTGCGCTCGCGACTAGCCTGCCAAGTCCACAAAGGTGGTTCACACGCGCTGCTGCTGTGGGTATGATGTTTAGAGAGGATGCGGCGGTGATGCATGCACGCGCCAGCCAGGTAGACAGCCAGAGCAGCAGCAGCAGCAGCAGAAGCCATGCAGACAGCCAAGTGGTTGAGCGGGACAACATAGAGACGGATCTCTCTGCGTGATGTACTCACACTCACTGACTGTATGTGCTGGATACGAATGCTTCGATGCCGCCGTTGCCGTCGCTGCTTAGGCGTGCGCAGACTTGCTCTCTCAATTGCGCCGCACTCCGGCACCTTAGAAGACGCTGCCTGCTGTGCATGCAGCAGCAGTCAGAGAACCTAGACTGACTTGCTGCATGCGTGCATCCATACATGCCTGCTTGCCTCCGTTGTCAACAATCTTGAATGGTCACTCACCCAGTGCGCTTTGACGCCAGTCCAGTTTGAGTAGAGTCTTGCCTTTGAAGCCGCGCGGTCTTCTTCAGAT